GATCAAGCACGCCGCAGTGGCGTGCAGGGTGACCCCCAGCCAGTCGTCCACAGTGAGGGACAGCCTGACTCGGGTACTTCGACGGCCCTACTTAATGCCCATCCACAAAACACTCATCTCTAAAATACACATCCGTTAATTTTCTACAGGGTCATTTTCTAGTTCGCATCCCCTAACTATGCATCTTTATTTGATTCATCCCCCTATAGAACCTCTATGAAACATAAATGCAAACCGCCGAAGATCCACCCACAGTCCCAGCGCTCACTGTGCGAAACGCCCTGCGCACGTTTCCACTTCCCAGATTAGCCGGAGTTTACCTGGTGATGAAAAGTGCCTTGGATATCTTTGCCGCAGTAGAAGGTACGAAGAAATTATTTAGCTGTCTCTTGTGATGTCGAGTTGTCTTAATAGCTGTGTCACGTTCTCGGCTGTGGGAGTTTTTGCGGTCGACAGTTTAACAGCACGTTCTAGGTGCGGTGATTCTCTTGCTAGGCTGTCCAGCACCATAGCATTCACATCCTCTGCCAGAGTTTTGAGTGTGCCTAGAGTCACGGAAAAGTCTTGACTGAAGAAACGCTAGCCTTACGATGTAACTGGGAAATCAAGTACCGACATCAATTTCTCCGCCTTGTTGGCGAACATCATCGATAAAATAGGCGAGCCGTTTGAGAGAATATTCCACCGATTCGATATGCGCCAAAGCGATTGCACGTTTTTCCTCGTTGTTGACAATGATACTTAATGTAAGTCAATGGCGATAGTGGTAACTCCCCTGCCCTTTGCGGTACGCAGCTTCTTGCTTCTTGTTTCCTCTTTGATGGCATCCTTGAGCTGCGGTATCAGTTGGGCCACTCGAATGTAAATAAGCCTGGAAAATTCGCGGCGGGAGCGGCTGCGTTTCAGTCGTCCTCTAAGAGCAATAGGGCCTTTAATACACGTTTGCTCGGAGCACCTTTACGCAAAGTTGTGGATGGCAAGTAGAGATGCCCAAAACTGGTACACCTCGTGGCGGCGGGTTGAAAAAAAAGACTCTGCGTCTTCTCTGACTAGGTTTCGCGCAAGGCTTTTGGTATGCAGCGACGCTGGGCCGCTACACTCTCACTATGTGACAAACGCTCTGGTAAGTTTAGCATAGCAATTCCAGAAAAGGCATGGGAGATCATCGACATATTAATACTGTTGCTTCGCGAGTCGAGTTACACGGGCCTGAAAACGTTATCTGCTCGCATGAACCCGCAGTATAGTTCGCAAGCCGGTATCTGTCTCCGAGCCCTGCCACCTTCATTCAATTTTCATCCATCAATACCACCAGCTAAAGTCGGATGATGGTGGCGCAGGCACAAGCGCTACCCCTCCAGCGGCAGCCAATTTGGACTTGGGCTGGGAACAGCGAACAGACCCTGGTGGATCCAGAAAACAGGAGACAGCTAGTGTTAAAACTCAAAGCAGCAAACGCATCGTTGCGTGTTCTACACTCGTGATGCTTGCGCTGGCGGCCAGCAAACTGCTGGAAAAGTGTCAAGTCAGATCGTGACTTATTGAACCTGTCCTCGTCTGCTTCAGGGTGGTTGTGGCACCAAAACTGTTTTCTGCTAGTGGTAACGTTTCCATCACCCAGCTTCGAGCGTGCCAGCGATCGAAATAGGGACAGAGCTCAGAAATAGCCTTGCGTCAAACAAGATGTAATAGCTCCAGCATGTCAGCGTTCACAGCCGAGATTCCTGAGCAAACTTTAACAATGACAACTCCGCAATCGCAGCGTGATAGAACAGGTGAGAATTTTGCCAGAGCGACGTATCGCTTAATAAGAAGATGCGATCAACTAAGCCGTCGGTACGGCGCCGACTTTTTACGAATCAGTGCGCCGACAACATCGGCACTATGACTACTGCTCAACTAAGGATTGCCATTGTCCGGCTCGCATCAACATGGTACGCCAGACTTTTCTTTTCTAAGGTCATTTTGATCGAATGTGAGGCTGGTTGGTCCAGGAAACGGTCTAACCTCGAGCTATTAGGCGGACGCCCAAAGATTTTTGCCTTGAAACTCGGAAAGGCAGCCTTGCCAATTGATAAATTGAACGGCGATGCTGCGCGGCGAGGGCAGAGGCTTCGTGATGGAGAAATACAAAGGCCTGGCAAGCTATAATCTCTGCCTGCATTGCATTATTAAGTGATACAGCTGAAATGATAAAGCGATCACTCAAACTCTGCGACCGTAAGAGGTTGGAAAGGGGGAATTGGGTTACTGCACCAAGGACAAGGGTACTCATCTGGTGAAGTTAAACAGCTTGCTTTTAGGAGGGACGTCTTCAAACCAGAACATGAAGCTAGTCGGGGCGGGAGAGCGGCTGTCAATGCAAGTAAGTGCTGGCGCTAGTCAGTGGCTGTCTGTCAGTACAGGCTATTTGTACCAATTCAGCTATAATTACCCGTAATCGGATAAAAAAAATGGCAGTGGCTGCTAGTGCCAGTAGACGTCAGTGACACTTTGTAGCGAGTTGATCCTGGTGATTACACCGAAATGCTTACCGATATGAAGAAATCCTACCGATTATCAATCTTATTTTCTGTCCGGAAGCAAACTTACTAGACAATCGTTGGCCAGCGCTGCGACGACAGTGAATAGTCAGAGGATTACCCGTAAGCAGCAGTTTTATTCCAGCACTCTATCCGCTGAGGACTTCTAAACAGAGCTGAAAATGCGGCAATAATAGTAAGAGAAGGTCTCTTTTTCTGAAATCTGCCCGGGTCTTGACTAGTAAACACTGCTGGAGGTTGCAGTACTGATAATAGACGGTCCCTTTCCAGCACTCTGTCCTTGTCTTGACTAGTGAACAGTGATGTAGATGTTGCTGGACTGGTAAAGTCGGCCTCTTTTCAGCACGCGGTCCCTGTCTTGACTAGTAAACAGTGACGGAAATGCTGCTGGACTAGTAAAGTCGGCCTCTTTTCATCAGTCTTTCCCTGACTCGACTGGTAAACGGTGATGTAAATGCTGCAGTACTGGTAAAGAGACAGCCTCTTTCTAGCACGTTGTCCCTGTCTTGACTACTAAACGATGACGCGTACTGGTAGGAGACAGCCTCTTTTCAGCACGCTGTCCTGGTCTTGACTAGTAAACGATGACGCAAATGCTGCAGTACTGGTAATACGTGAAGCAGTCTCTTTTCAGCACTCTGTCCCGATCTCGACTATTAAATGATGATGAAAATGCTACAGGACTGATAAGACGCGAAGCAACCTCTTTCCACAGCGCTGTGCTGCAGCGGCGACACCGCCAGACTTCCCGAGC